TGTGGCCAGAGGCACTTTTTGTGGACATCCTCAAATAAAGAGCCGATGACAGTAGGAAATCATAATGACCATCCTGTGCAGTACAATTCACAACAATCAAAAACAGCGAGTCTGCTTTGTGTGCAATGCTGCCCCTTTACTGATTACAGTCAAAGGTCAAGGAGGAAGCAACCCAAGCCAGAACACGCACTTTACAGCCATTTCTCATTACCTGACAGGCAGAGAAAATAGAAAATCAAATTGGGTATCCATGATCTGCTCTGCAAAATACACATGAAGATTTTTTTAAAACAAAGTTCATAATTTCCTTGCAGGAAACTAAGCAGAGCTGTTTTCAAAGATTACTTGATTCACTTACATGACTGTATGATGAAGAATGCTATAAAATTCTGAAGAGGGTGATTCAGTAACCAACCCCAGGTGGCAAGTGTCAGATCCTCACCCATCCCCCAAACTAAACTGCCCATTGCACAACAAATAACAGCAGGCTGTTTGCATAATCAGATTGTAGCATGTGCATTGCCTACTGGACACCAGCTGCTCTGGTATCACAATAAAGCCTGCAGGACTTCCTATCAAAATCAAAATGAATTGAGAGTGCACAAATCAGCCATCTTAGGTACCTTCTTAAAACTAATTGGCAGAAAGTAAAAACAATCCTACAACTGCAGAATTGATTAAAGTTAAAATATTTTGTTTTCAAGATTAATTTCAACACGTTCAAGAGGAATTTTGTCACTACCCTCCCAATGAACAGCTTGCACTCAACATACGCAAAATGATGGACCCTTGCAGCTAATATTACTAATGTACACAATTGTGTTGTATAATTTATCATCTTGAAAACTGACTTAAGGATACCCAACCATGGAGGCCTGAAGTAATCTTGAAAGCTCAACCCTCCCCCACCACACATTTGCTATCAAGTAAGCCTCAACCAAGCCCCCTTCAATAGCAGTGTGTAGTCTTTCATCCTCCTGTTAACGCTTCACTAAGGGCTCTACGGCACCATATTCCCAACCTGCCTTTCACAGCAGGTACAAAGGTCGCTTTTGCAATGGTGGGCGTGTTCACGTCAATTCTGAACGTTCCAACGCGAGCTGGAATGCAGTGACTGCTGGGCCCAAGAATTTCACTTTGAATAACAAATCAAGCACACTTTGCCTCGATTGGTCCTCTGGCCTCAACGCAACTTTATGGCAACCCTAACTGACACCACCTCTTGACCTTTCTTTACGTGATGAGGATGTGGATTAGCAATACCCCCACTCATTCGCCTCCATGGCCCAAAGGCAAAGTGAGCAGAATGAAGGAAGTAACTTACTACTCATGCATGCACATCAATCAAAAAAAACTGCAGATAATCGAACAGAATTTCTCAGTTTGAAAAATGAAAATATGCCGAACTTGGCTTTTGGATAAACATGCACATTGTTCATTGATGAAAACTGGGAGGGACGACCAGGGCAAAAAAAATGCACCAGTACCATTTCATAGTTTTCTGATCAGTAAGGCTTTTGAATAAACATGCACATTTTTAATTTTTCCCATTTGGAATCACTAGCCATATTCTTTAGCTATAATCAAAGCAAAACACTTTATTTTAAAAAAAGAAAATATAACTATCAAACAGTATGGTCAACAAACAAAGCCATTCAAATCAAAATGAATATTTGTAGGAAAAGCTTTAAGTACACCGCACAGACATACCAGCAGACTGGGTGGGCTTCTGTACTCGTACATATGTAGGATTCCAGATAAAACTTAATGAAATACCAAATTATTAAATCGAGATAAATAGTTTATTTTTTTGAAATAACTGACAAAATCTTTTTCCTCCTCATTGATTACAACAGCTTAAAGTTTAGGTTTCTGGAAGAAATTAGTCGGGCACACCTAATGAGTGATGAGCACATAAACATCTACACACTATTACATTCTTAGTTTTGTTAGACTATTTCTTTTATTAAATCGATTATTTCTTTAGACAGCCTACCTACACCATTTCAAATCAGTCCCTCCCCCCCATACAAAAATCACACAATCTTATATTGCTGATTAAATAAGGAGCTCAAATGCTACAAACTAAGATCAATTTTGTAGTTACTGCAATGTCGCAATATTTAAAAATGTATACAGCTAAACAGTATAGTATAGAGCCTGTAGCCGAGTTTTATCCAAGACTTGACCAGCTTTAGGTATTTACATTAACAGCCACTAAAATTGCAAAACATTGATCATTATGACACTTAAAAATATTCAGTCATTATACAAAAATGGAAAGATGTTGACATGCATATCTAAAATAAATCTGTGTTTGAAATAATAGAATAATTAGAAAAGCAACACAAATGACAGCATTTCATTTTCCAAACTCCAGGTCATCACAATGCCAAACGAGGGCACATACATAATTCATTGATCAGAGACTTTTATCACATCCAGCTCAATCATGTTAAGAGTTATACTTAGGTGGGGAAGACAATATTGGTTGGCTCTGCTAACCTCAAAATGGAGCAATCATCAACTACCGAAGAGGAGAAGACATGCGTTGAAATTCAGGAAGAAAAGTAGAGATCCTCACATTAAAAGCAGTCAAACTAATCAAAGCTCACATGACCTCGAGGCCCCCCAAAAAAGAGGCCAGAGCTCCACTGCTGGCACTACAGGGCTAGTAAAAAGCAGTTTCTGGGAACAAATTTAAATACAAACCTTTGCATTTTTTTAAAAGAAGCTGAAAATTCTTATTGCTTATTCTTAATGAATCAGCTAGGTGTTTTCCCTTCCTTTTTGCCATTTCAGCAGACTTGCGTTTTCAACAAAATGGAGACAACTATTGTACAATGCATTCTCTGAAGTTCAGATTTTCAGTCTAAGGTCTTTCCAGAGTCACATACGTATGCTGTTTGTTTTACTATTTCAAAACATTATTGAACTCATTAAGTTCAAAATGGTATTATACACAAAGGAGTCCTAACAATACACACCAGTATCAATCCACATCAAAACTGAAGAGCTTGCAAAATTGTAATGGGCGAGATGAGAAAAAACACAAAAGTTCACTTTTGATTAAATATTGAAAACAGCCAGTATGTCACCACTGAGACAGATTCAGCTTTTGATAAACCATTGGTTATTTAGGTCAGAGAATGGTACATTTGGATTATATTACTAAGGATTTTTAATCCTTTAAAGTTTGGATCCATTCTAAAAACATGAAGTTGGTGAGAGAACAAACTAATTTACAATGTTGGTGAAAAAAGCCAAAAATGTGTTCTGAAGTAAGAACTGAATCAAATACTTTCCATTATAATTAACTTTTGCAATAAAGACCAGTATCTATACTGAAATCGTGCACAGAGTTAATTGTACAATTTCCAATTTTTGTTGTTAGAAAGGTAAGCTTGCAATGCCACTGAAAGATGACAGATAAAATCACCCTAAGTTTTAAAAATGCATCAAATTATATTGATATTTTATATCATCATCTTATATTTTGATGCCACTGAAATATTTCTTCTCGTCAACTACAAATGTAATTACATATCTTGTTACCAACATTATATACTTTAAAAATCCTTGATCATAAATATCACAAAATTTACAGTGTTAGATCTAGAATAATCATCATCAATGAGACTGGGGAACATTGATTAAGAGCAAAAAAATTCTCAATGGGGGAAAATATCCAAAAGTACAGGAAGCTAGTAAAAAGTGTTAACAATAAGTCTGTACATTCAAGTATTTCCAATAGTAAAAGAAACACACCGTTTTCAATGCATTGAGAAGCAACATCAATCACAGCACTTATTACTTGTGAATATGAATCATGCTTTAAAGTAAAAAAAAACTAATTATTCAGACTGAATCAAAACTCCACATGGCAACTGCATATTAATTAAATGACTGTAAAGCATACTATTAAAGTTTTCTTAAAAAATAAGATGCTTTCTAAATAACTCAGTAAGATGTTTAGATCGCCCATTGAAAACAGTTAACAACTCCTTCCAACCAGAACATATATAGTACAGAAGACCATGACCACAAACAGTTTCAATGTAGAAACCATGTAAAACGTTTTAAGCAATAAAATGTTGGTACAAATGACTCACGTTTCCAAAAAACCTGAAAAGGTTGACACTAACTTTGTTGTTACCCACGACTTAACCCTCTCCTTTACCGGTTAAAACAATCTCAAAACTAGGACAAGCCGATGGTTTAACGCTAAACCTCTCATTTGTGCAAGAAAATTGCCAGACAGTTTGCCATTCATACATTCACGTGATCGTGCACTTTGTGGGAACAAAACTCGTTTCGTTTTGGGGAGTTTCAGAGTGAACAGTCGACTGGACTTGAACACTGGTGCGACATGGTTTCTGATTAAAACTTTCACACTTTTTAAAAAACACGGCTCGAGTTGAGTTGTATTCGTGGACGAGAGAAGAGGAAGGGGTGGACTTGCAGTCCTCCCCCTGTCGGATTGCCCCCCTCCCACACTGATACCCCGCACACCAACACGTGAGGAGTTAACAGAGTGCAAAGCATCTCAGATCATTTCCTGCTGACGCCCAAACCTCTCTCGAAAAATATCAATTCGCATTGCATCGGGTGCTCTTCTTCTTATTATTATAACAACACGATTAATAAAAACAAAAAAAAGACATTTTCTCCAACCACTGCAAACACGGTTTACGAAATATATCCACAATAATAGGATTTGTTTGTAGTGGGAGGACACACACACACACACACACACACGGGGCATAACGGACGAAACTTAAGGCAACAGTTCACCAAACTCACACAGCAGTTATAAACACGATCCAGCGGATCCAAACAAATAATTGAATGGTGAATTAAAGTCCACGCATCCCATCGTATGGACTCCCAAAAAAAAAAAGCCCACATAACAACCCATTGCAAACAGACTGACTGGATTAACAGGTCTACCTGTTGGTTGGCACCGAAATATTGCAATGAATGAATAAACCGGTCTGTACCTTTGTCGTTTGGGAACCGAGTGTTCCACCTCTATGGACTTGCCATGTAGCTCCACTTTACCTGAGGGCAGACACAGAGAGAAGAAAAGGGGGGAAGAGGGGCAGCGTGTTAAACCAGAGAAAAAAAGATGTCAAACCATTTTATTTTTTTGTTAAAAAAACGCACGCAAAACCCAGAACACTAAGTGACCTACTACTAAGTAGTAAAGGGGGGGAGAGAGAGAAAGTCCACTGATCCTGAAAAAAAATAAGTTTGTGTCTCTGAGTAGCAACTTGCAACCGTGTGTGAAAAAACAATGATGTTACAAGTCGGACTGAGTGTTGGGGTGGGGGGTGTGGGGGGGTGTGGGGAAGAGAGGGACAATTTGGCTGAAGATTTCAACAGTCGGCTCCAGCAGCTAAAAAAGTGCGATGCAAAACACACACATCGATGCAAATAAAATAAGGAGTTGACTCAATTGTTTTGCAGCCTAATTTGCAGCCATGTTTCTGGTGGTCGAGCCCTAAAAGTCAGTATGGCCGACAAGAACAGCATTCGCGCTGTCAAAGAGAGAGAGAGAGAGAGAGAGGAGGGAGGGGAGGGGGAGAGAGAGAGAGAGAGAGAGAGGAGGGAGGGGAGGAGAGAGAGAGAGAGAGAGAGAGAGGATGCATTTGATATTGTGACCCATTTTGGGCAAAGACGAGCTCTCCTTTTGGAAGTTGTTGTTTTTAAGATTTTTTTTTGGGGGGGGGGGTGTGGGGAAAATAACAAAGGTGCAATGTGCATTATGCCCCCCTTCTCCCCCTCTCACTCTCCCCGCTTTGCAACCCCTGGTGCCCCCCTCCCCCTTTTTTTTGCTGAGCGCGCATTGATTTGAATGGTGGCTCGGGGCTGCCTGTGGGGTGGTTGGAAGGCCTACAATCGGCAAAGGAAGGTGCAGGGCGACCGGGACACAGCTCCACGGCCCACAGACAGGGAGAGGGGGACGGGGGAGAGGGAGAGGGGGAACGGGGGAGAGAGAGAGAGAGGGGGGAAAACCCCTCCCCGTTAGCTCGACGGGAAGAGCTCGACCGCAACGCAAAACGCTGCGTGTGCGCAACGCATCTTTCTTTCCCTGTCAACCAACCCCCCCCCCACACCCCGGTTGGGGGGGGTGATGGGGTGGGAGTGGGGGGTGTTTTTATCCCATCGCAAACCCGAAAAAAATTAAAAATACACCCCCCCCAAAAAAGGAACCCCTCAACCGCGTGCAGCGAGGAAAGGATGGAATGGGCTCCACCAAAACTAATTCCACCACCAACACCAACACCACCACCAACACCAAAAAAAAAAGGAGCGAAAGTTACCCAACACCTCCCCCCCTCTCCCCCCCCCTCCACCCCACACAACTCTGCACTTCCGAAAGAAACTTCTGATTTAAGCGCGTATTCGAGACTCTTTTCTCTCAAGAAAAGTCATCGATAAAATAACCCGCCCCCCGGCCAGTCCCAGGGTGGGTTTTGGTGCCCCCCCCCCCAAAAAAAAATAAAATAAAAAAGCTTTCGTACGCGAAGGAGCTTTCTTAGGCCTCTCTCTCCCTCTCTCTCTCTCCAAAGAGGGCTTTTGCGGACTGGGGTTTGCTCCAAACGGGAGACCCTCCTGGGAGACGCAAGGCATTAAAATACTGACCTGACAGGGTATCTATAGCCTTCATAGCCCAGTTGTCATCTGGGCAGTCGACAAACGCGTAGCCAGTTTTCACCAGAAACTGTCCGGTGAAGGGGATCTTCCATTCCTTGAACAGACTCTCCAAGTCCACAGTGGTTACGTTTTCGCTAAGATTCCCAATGTAGAGCTTGTTCATGTTGCTGAAAAAACTGCAAAGAAGCAAACGATCCTTTCGCTCTCTCGTGTGTTTTTTTTTCTCTCTCTCTCTCTCTCTCTCTCGTGTGTGTATGTGTGTGTGTGTGTTCCCTCCTTCTCTCTCTCTCTCTCTCTCTCTTTTCTCTCCCCCCCCCCCCCCACCACCCCCTTTTTGGAAGAAGTAAGTCAGTGAGAATTAAATAACGATACGTTCTCTCAGCAACAACAACAACAACAAAAAAATTGGTGGATGATGATGATGATGATGATGGTGGTGGTGATGATAATAATAATAATAATAATAAAACGGATTCCCGGCACAAGGAGTAGCAATGCACAGTCTCGGATGGCGGGCTGGAAAGGGAGGAGGAGGAGGAAAAAAAAACTACTTTTTTTTTTGTCTTTCCCCCAAAACCCCTTTCGCAAACAGGCTGTGAAAATGTCACACTACGTTACAAACAAAGCACCGCCTCCGAATAAAATGCCTCTCCAGAAAATCCCTGAATATTCCGGCTGAATGAGCCACGTGGTCAAACTATACATCAACTTCTCACGTGAGGAATCCCAGCTATTCAATTATACTGAGGAAAGGGGGCAGGAGGGAGGGAGGGAGGGAGGGAGGGAGGGGCCAGGGAGGGAGGGAGGGAGGGAGGGAGGAGGAGGAGGAGGAGGAGTAGTAGTAGTAGAGAGTATTGCTTTACGAGTCCTGCAAACATCACTGATTGTGGAGGAACATTTATTGGGATGGTTGTCCGGGTTTTTTTTCCCCCTCTCTCTCTCTCTCTCTCTCCCTCTCCCTCTCTTGCGCCTTCCCCATTCGCACACGCTCGCACTCTGAGATCCTATCAAACGCCTTCAGCCTCGCTGCCACTGAGTGAGGAATCTCTCCCCCCACCCCCCACCCCCCCTCCCACCATCATCCCCACCCCCTCTCTCTCTGACTCTCCCCTCCATCCCCACCCCCTCTCTCTCTGACTCTCCCCTCCATCCCCACCCCCTCTCTCTCTGACTCCCCCCCCCCCCCTCTCTCAGACTCTCCCCCCCCCCTCTCTCTCACTTCCCCCCCACCCGCCCCCCCACTCCCTCAGACTCCCTTCTTTGCCAATTCCATTCATTGGTTTAACTCAATCTGCCATTTACAAGGACGATGGCGCGAAATTTCTTCTCCTTTCTCTGCTCCACTCCCCCCACACCCCCCAGAGCCCCCTCTCCAATTTGGTGAATGGCAGGAGGACATTTGCAGTCGCTGTGGTTGGGGTTGTTCTATGTGAACACTCTGCCCTCCCCCTCCCTTCCTCCCTCCCCCCAACTCAAGCCCCAAACATGTCACCGAGACACAAGTGCCTTAAAGAGCCCTTCTCCTCCTCCTCCTCTTCCTCAGAAGTAGTCGCAACCAAATCCGAAACCCAGACTCGCCTGGTTCCTGATCTTTTAATAAAAAATACACTCACATATATATAGTATATATATATATATATATATATTCCTTTCAATTGCCGGAGTCGGGAAAATATCCTCTTTGTGCGGCTTTTTATTTTGCGCTCATTGGGTGAAATCTACGGTGGGTCCCACCACAAAAAAAACATGGTTATGGTTCCACATGAATTATTATTGGTCGGGGAGGGAGAGGGGGGGGGGGGGAAGGGAGGAGGAAAAAGCAAATCCTTGTCTTTTTAATTGATAATAAAATGCATATGAATGTTGCTGCAAACAGGTTCGTTTGAAGTCGGGGTGGGGGGGGGTTGGGGGGGGATTTGAAACGATTGCAATGTTGCAGTTGGCAAAGGCGAGACGTTCCCGTTTTAAAACGTTACAACCGGTGGAGCTCAGGTCTTTGTCTGGGGGTTGGTTTGCTTCACCGTTTGCTGTGCAAACGTGTTCCGGGGGGATATTTAAATGCAAGTTTTCTGGAGGGTTTGCACACGGGGGGAGCGAGTCATTCCCACAGATTTAACACAAGCAAAAGCAACTTCGTGTTTTTTTTTCTCGAAACCCCCCCCCCCTACACACACACACACACACCCCAAAAAAAAAACACGACTGCTCGCACCACCACTACCACCACCACCACCACCAGCTGCTGCTGCTGCTGCTGCACACAAAAAAAAACTCACGTTGCAAATAACTTCATTAGCGGAAGTGTTAAGAATCGGATCAAAAGAAGAAAGTCTGACTCGCTGGTGCTCCAGAACCATCTCTTTGGTTGCTATTTTTTTTTGAGATAGATATAGATATATATATATATCTATATATGCAAAAAGAAAATGTGTGCACTTCCAGCATTGCCGGTTTAAGTCCAAGGCTGGATTTAAAGTTAAATGGTTCTTTTGGCCACAAAGCTCCCCATCCTCGTGGTGGGTGGGTGGGTGGGTGATGGGGGTGGTGGGTGGGTGGGGGGGGGGGGAGAGGAAGAGGACGCTTTTGCAGCAGAAAGAAACAGTACCGTGTGGAGTCACTACCATTGCAACTAAATGTCTCTGTATCCGTGGCTTTGTTTTTTGTGGCGGATCGAATAAGTGGCAGATTTTCAACGCACAGACTCGCTTTTGTCCTTCGATTGTCAAGTGCCATGTGCAGCTTCATGTCTCTGTATATTTCGTTCATGCAACCTGTTGTTCAGTTGTTTTTTTTTCGATCATATGTTTCAGTTTTGTTTTCCCAACAGCTTTTTTTTTATTTGGGGGAGAACGAGGATGTATGTGTGTTTCAGGTTTGAGGTATGTATGCACAGACTTAACAGCACTCGATCCAAAGTAAAACACACACATGTATACAGTGTCGAGGTTAATGCATGTTTATATATGTTTTAGAATTCGTTTGGGTTAACTTTCTTCTATCCATTTAACTGAATGGTAATTGATTGGATAATCCTACTCGTGAGGAGGTTTAAATCCATCAGGACCTCGAGAGAAATAATTGCTGGCAAATAATTACATCTTTCAGATATTTCACATTACCCTGAAAATTGTGGCATTTTCAATTGAACTTATTTTGTTAAAATTCCTTCACATGTTTACTGTTGCATTTTTAAATAGCAAAGATGTTAGGGAGAATTATGATTTTTTTTTAAAAAAAACTGCAATATTGATGTTTGCTAAAACGTTTCTGGCACATGGGTGTTAAAAAAAACAATATATGGCAACATTGAGTGGTAAGTTTTAACCCAAAACAACTAATTGAGGTGTGCCTTGATAAGGTTGCCCAAATGACATTTTGTTCATGCTTTTTAATGCAACTCTTAACTCTTGACAAACGCTTTAAGCTGTAAAAAGGCTGGATAATCTGTACAATGTTCTTTTCTTTTTGGGGGAAAGGAATAAGCATTTTGATTTATTATTCCATCTATATAGAAAACCCAATCCCAAATGATAGAATACTGCATTACTTTGGAGTACATTTATCCATTTAAAGTTGTTTTCTGCCAATGGTAAATCGACAAAACAATTCTCAGTATTTCTCACAATCTTCCATCAATTCATTTTGATACAATTTTAAATATCACATGTTTCTATTTGTTTCAGAACATCAAAACAGATACCATTTTTTTTAAAAAAAGAAGTCATTTTAAAGGTGATGCACAAATCAATTTTTATCAAATTAAATCTTAAAATATAAAATCTTTGCTTTGAAATGTTCAATATCAGCGTTTTATTCTATCATATCTATCAAAGTGATTTTGTCCATGCTCCTAACACTTTTGGAATAGAGTTAATAAATAGCAATAATTAAAATATATCTGAATAAAACTGCAATCGTAGTTTTAAAACAATGTGTATGAATACTGTGATGTTCCATAACGTTGACGAAAACATACAATTATTTAGTTATTTTATGTTTGTTGTACACTTCTGAAAATATAGTATCAACCAACAATTAGTTACAAAAAGTTTGTGTTGGGATTCTCTATACTTTTCAAATAGACACTGGGACAATTTTTTGTTAAAGTTTACCTTGTTCATCATTTTAAAAAGATTTGTAATGTTTCTAGAAGATATTTTATTTACATTGTTACATGTACTTCGTTTTGGTGGTATTTTCTGCTAACAAATGTAAATCAAAATGGTAAATATTTTAAATATTTGTAGGTGATCTCATATTGCATAAGTTGAATGAGGTTGATGGTACAAAGCTAGTAAAATTGTTTAGAATTACAAATATTTTGACTTCTTATGATTTTAGAATTGCTTATTAGATGTATAGTAATTAAATAAATTTTGAAAGTAGAAATACTATTGATTGAAAATTGGATAATACATATTAAGTTGTGACTTTCTGCTTAATTTCTAAATGACACAAAATGGCAATTAGCATTTCTGTTTTCAAGTAGACTTAATGAGTTAAGATGTCTGTAATATTGTACACGTTATAGCAAATATTATTTACTCTACCTTACTAGTATTGTTTGTGTTTGACGAATCCGATAAATATATAATTGAAAGAGTTCCATTGTACATTTTCAGTAAATCCTAGGGAGGAAATATTGATAATCATTGGAGAAACTTGCTAATGATTTCAGTGAAAATATTTAATAATTCATTTAAATTTGGGAATATTTTCTTCAGCTGAAATCAAAAATTGGTCCATGTTCTGTTTTATCATTCTGTTCTAATTAATGTAAAATGGTAAATATAATCAAACAGAAATATTTCATTTTGATGTTTTACACAATTGTATATTCGTATTTGTACAGTAGTAGTAACATATCTTCTTGGCATATAAACATAAACTACAGCTGATCATGACATTTAAATTAGTCAAGATACTATAAAGTTAGGTTAACTGAGGTTTTCTTTGTGTTCATATGTGTTTCCAATGGGATTATCATTTACTGATTTTTTTCTAATGTAATTGTAATTATAAAAGTATCAAATCATGTAGTGTGATGCTCTAAATCTGAATTCTGCAAGTTTCTAATCAAATTTGTTTATTGCTTTAGCAAACCAAATATTCTTTAGATTCTATCTATTCTGGACTTTGTGAACTTTGCAATCAGAGAAAGTGCAATAAAAAACAATTTATGTCGCCATTGCTATCTGCACAAAAAGTCTTAAGAATTTTTGATTTAAAAATAAAGCA